AGATGTGAGTCGACCAAGATACCCAAATATTTATAGGAATCAACAAACTCAATGGGGACACCATTTGAGGATAAAATCGGAGGAAGAACTGCTGGGACCAACTTCCTATTTGAAAAAAGCATCCCTTTGGTTTTGTCGGCATTTAGGACAAGTTTGAGGCAGAACAAATCAGTCTGGATGATGTTGAATGCAGATTTCAAAAGCTGGAAAGCCTTAGCAACAGTTTTAGCTCGACAATAAACAACTGTGTCATCAGCATAGAAATGTATGGATGCATCAGGGATGTTTTTACCTACATTATGTATGTAGATTGAATGAAGCTTCTGTGACGTAAACTTCAATGTCACAACGGACAGATCAACAAATTTAAGTGGAAAACATGTCTGACTGCTGACGAATCCAGGATAAAGTGAAAGCGGAAACCCCGACCAGGAAATTATTTTTCATCCATCAGGAATCACTGTAAGTCATGCTTTGCTGTGTGCGTGTGTGAAACTGTTAATTGTGTGTGAATTATCAAAAGAAATGTGAAAGACAAAAACGTGTGAATTATTGTCCAGGTACTCTGTTGTGTTGCTACATAGAGGAGCTGCAGGAAGATGACATCTGCTTCCATTCCCAACCTGCCACAGCTGACCTGTCATCAACTTTAGATCCTGTTGTTGTAAAAAGTTTTGTGAGGAGTCTGTAGAGGTGAGCTGCCACTTTATTTTAACTTTTCTCCTGTATTCGATTAGCATAGTGAGGTAAGAGACTTGTGGTTTGGTTCATTTTATTTTTCTTCAGGTAAGAGAAAATACAGTGGTTTGTTTTGTTTGTTGTTTTGGCCTGAAGTTGGTAAAACTCCACAAAGTCAATAATCTCACTATTGTAAATAAAATCACTGTTCTATCATATAATCCTGACTTAGTGGTTGCTTGAGTGGTGCAGAAGGTGGAATTGCCCATAATTAATAGCGTCCCGGTGGCTATTATTGCGCTGGGATGTAACATCACACAAACACTCCATCCATCTGTTCCTGGCCTGGCCCTTCGCTCCAATTTTAGAACTCTGTGTGGCCCGCAAGTCTAGAAGTTTGCCCACCCCTGCCCTAGAGCCATATTTAATAAGCTTGGTGGCCTGGACTTTTTGCTTAAATGTGATTTTGAATTAACCAAGATCCCTATCTTACTATCTAATTTCCACAAACAAGTTTTGCAGTTCTGGAAAATGATGGCAAACTGCAACAAAGCCAAGATTCATCTTGTCTGCTGGCCTCCTTAGATAGAGAACTTTACTAATTGACTTTTATGTATGTGAATGTTTCTGTAAAGTGCCCTGAGACAACTTTGTTGTGATTTGGTGCTATATAAATAAACTGAATTGAATTGAATTGATATTCACCCACAATTTTACCCCACACGGATCCTTACTGTGGAATAATAAATCCATATTGGTTAATAGAAAATCTATTTTTAAAACTGACTGGTATGAGAAAGGTATTTTATTTGTCACTGATTTAATGGACAGCAATGGTGTTTTGTTAAATCACAGAGATTTTACCAGTAAATTTAATCTCAACTGTACTTGTTATAATATCTAAAAATATGCTAAGCTATTCCTGTAGCTCTCATTAATTTAATCCAGAACACCTTAAGATATTCCAATGTTACTTCAACGCTAACCACACTGAAAATTGGAGAGTGTAGTTTAACTGATAAGAAATGCAATAATGTTGTACTTGTGACTGCCTTAAAATATATACTGTTTAATGATTACAATAAAAGTATACTAGTAACAACAAATCTGATTATAATAGAGAAGGCATTCTCCAAGTACATCAAATGGCCAATTGCACCAAAGGTTCAAGAGACACATTTCAAAATCACTCACAAAATATACCCAGTGGCAGATTTTTTTACACAAAAGATTTAAATTTGATCTAGAATGTTGTGCTTTTTGCAAATGTCCAGGAAAATCTCTTACCTCTTATCTCTTTATGTGCATTCCTGTTGATGATGCAGTAGAGGTGGTCAGTTTAAGATTAAAATCAGACACCACCCTGAGCAGCAGGACCACGCTTTCCACAGAACAACTGTGTCAACTCTTGAAACTGTGCCTGCAGTCAACCTACTTCACATATGGGGAGCAATATTATAGGCAGAAACATGGGTGTGCTATGGGGTCTCCAGTTTCTCCTATTGTGGCCAACCTGTACATGGAGGAGGTAGAAAAGAGAGCCATGGCGTCCTTTTCAGGAACACCACCAAGTCATTGGTTCAGGTATGTTGATGACACCTGGGTTAAAATTAAATCTCATGAAGTCCAACATTTTACTGATCACATCAACTCTGTGGATAAATACATCAAGTTCACACAAGAAGGTGTAAAAATGGCAGGTTGGCTTTCTTGGACTATGAGGTCTCAGTTTCTGATAGAGGACATTTGCAAACTGAGGTGTACCACAAACCCACCCACACAGACCAGTATTTACAGTTTGACTCCCATCATCCTTTGGAGCACAAGTTAGGAGTCATCAGGACTCTGTACCACAGAGCAGGCAGCGTACCCACTAACTCAGGAGCCAGGCAGAAGGAGAAATCCCACACAAGACAGGCTCTAGAGCAGGGGTGTCAAACTCCAGGCCTCGAGGGCTGGAGTCTTACAAGTTTCATGCCCCTTTTCTACTGTTACGGTGCGGATCAGGTAAGTTCGGGTCGGTTCATATCAGCTCGTCTGTCATTACGTTTCCATTTACACTTCTGGACCTGTTCTTTAGGCGGTGTCCAGAATCCAACTCGTCTTACCACCTGGTGGTGGTAGTGCTCCCTTAAGCTATTAACTAGCCACCATCCATCCATTTTCTTCCACTTATCCGGGGTCAGGTCGCGGGGGTAGCAGCCTAAGTAGGGAGGCCCAGACTTCCCTCTCCCCAGCCACTTGGTCCAGCTCCTCCGGGGGAATCCCAAGACGTTCCCAGGCCAGGCGAGAAACAGTCCCTCCAGCGTGTCCTGGGTCTCCTCCCGGTGGGACGTGTCCGGAACACCTCAGCAGGGAAGCGTCCAGGAGGCATCCTAAACAGATGCCCGAGCCACCTCAATTGGCTCCTCTCGACGTGGAGAAGCAGCAGCTCTACTCTGAGTCCCTCCCGGATGATCGAGCTTCTCACCCTATCTCTAAGGGAGAGCCCAGACACCCTGCGGAGAAAACTCATTTTGGCCGCTTGTATCCAAAATCTCGTTCTTTCGGTCACAACCCAAAGCTCATGACCATAGATGAGGGTAGGAATGTAGATCGATCGGTAAATTGAGAGCTTCACCTTTTGACTCAGCTCTCTCTTCACTACGACAGACCTGTACAGCGCCCGCTTCACTGCAGATGCTGCACCTATCTGCCTATCGATCTCACGTTCCATTTTTCCCTCATTCGTGAACAAGACTCCAAGATACTTGAACTCCTCTGCTTGCGGCAGGACCTCCTCCCTGATCCAGAGAAGGCACTCTACCCTTTTCCGGCTCAAGACCATGGCCTCGGACTTGGAGGAAATGATCCTCATCCCGGCTGTGTCGCACTAAGCTGCGAACCGCTCCAGCAAAAGCTGTAGATCACGATCTGATGAAGCCAACAGGACCACATCATCTGCAAAAATCAGAGACGCAATCCTAAAGCCACCAAAAAGGATTCCCTCAACACCTTGGCTGCGCCTAGAAATTCTGTCCATAAAAGTT